GTGTCAGAAAGAAGCCATCATTCAAATTAGAGTCTACAAGAATTTGCAACTCCTGTCAATGCTGCTCCTTGGAAAAGGTCTCAAGAGCAATAGCTTACTTTTCATTACTTAGTAAAACTTCAGGACTGTAACTTTAAAATATTGAAATGTTATTTGTACAAAGAATTGGTTATTAGTTTCACTAGCAGTGCCCATTGTTCCAGTGGGATATTTAAGTACAACTTCAGTCGACATATGCTGCAATATGTTTGAGATTTTCTTAATGGCAAAGGTTTTTATTAGAACACAATTCTCCAAGAGTCTGATGGTTAATTTTAGATATTTTTTTAACTGTTAAATTGGGCCATATTATGGAGAATATTGATTAGTGGCACAGGTTGTGAATACTTTGAAGTAGTTGCTAAATGCAACTAAGTGGTTTGTCTCTTGATCCTTGAGGTATTGAATAGTTTAAAAGGCTTAAAGTTGGAATAAGTTGCTTTAAAAGGACATCCAAATGAATTAAAAGTCTTGAATGTCATTTATAAAGAACTTTTCTTAAACCTCTGCTGTGAACAGTTGCTGGAGGCGCACGATCACGGTTTAGAATACTGGCTGATATACTTAGTATTAGAATTGGATAAAAAAAAACTAATCAGGTCTTGACATGAAACAGTTTTTGCTGAAAGAATTGAATACCATTAGAAAAGAAAGTAAATGAATCTGTCCATCACAGTCTGTGCTATTTTCCAAGATAAACATTTTTTTTTTTTTACAATTTTTACCACAAATATAACTTAAAACCTAAATGTTTAACTAAATTGAAAAAATATTTTAGAACACCATTGTGACTCATTTTTTACATTTCTACCTCGATGTTTAAATTTTTGTACAGGAAACTTCTATCTTCTGTATCTTAGGGTAATATACTATGTACTAACTACACCTATTCTACATACTTTTTCAAAGGCAGTTTTATTCTCTCAAAACCCTCAAACTTTAGATATTGCATTGCTGCCGTACTGACTTGGGGTGCACAAAAATTGCTATTCTATTCTATTCTCTTCCTTGGTGTGCATGGAAATACTGCAGCAGTGACAACAGTGCATCAAAACCATTGGGACTGCACGTTGGCAATCTATGGCAGTTGGAAGCCATTCACAGAAAAATGATACCAATACTGTCCACTCTGAATAATGCTTAAATTTAACATGTGCCACAACAATCAGCTAAGTGTCAGTGATTATTGATTGTTTATCTCAGCCTGGTCTTTGGGAGTGACTGGATTAAGTTCAGTGTTTTATCCCATTCATTCCCAAATTCACTAAATAAAGACTCTAATGTCAGTAAATCCATGATCCGAATTAATAACTTTTGTCCCTACCAACGTTAAACTGCTCTTATTATGGGTGTAGTTGGATTATCATGGCTGTTATTCACTCACTCACTGCAGATGTCTGCTGACACATGATGCTCACTGCAGCAGTGGAGCCAAAGAACCACTGCAGGCTTCAGTTTACATTATTGACAAGCTTTTACAAAGTTGGACTTGTCTCGTTACTCATCGCCAGACGATGTGGCTGTTTTGCATCATAAATGGTTACAAAGAATGGGAAACAAAGTTTTTTTTTTTTTCAAAATCTCAACTGTTAGCAGAGCTGCATGTTATTATTATTATTATTGCTATTTTACTACTGCAGTACTTTATACCCTTACCCTTTGTGAATAATTGATCATTCTGCAATATCCAGTAGTGAGACCTGCTATGGTGTATGGTTTAGTGGTGTGGCACTGTCTGAGGTAAAGGTGGCTGAAGTTAAGATGCAGGGATTTTCTTTTGTTCAGATCAGAGGAACTGTTGAGGCTAAATAACTATTAGCCAGTAATTCTGCAGTTGAAAGTGGTCCAAATCAGATTTTTCCCAATGTGTGACCCGTGTCAGTTTTATTTATAACAGTCATTATAACAAATTACTGATGACGAGGATCCTTTTGATATGTGGTCCTAAATCAGATTAAAACAACATCTTTTTGGAAGGGTCCTCAGTGAATGTCACATTTCATCTGACAGACGTCACAATTGTTCACCATATAAGGCAGAATGGGACACGATCAAATGGAAACAATGGACAGAAACACAACACACACTGTTAATGGAGGTAGTCAGTGAAAAGTGTTGCTCATTCCCTGGACTTTTGCACCTGGAAATCTAAGCTAAGGGCGATGGACACTCCAGTGCAGCTCCAGTCGTGTGCTAGGTATAGAGTCTCTCTGATTGATCGCCAAGTGTAATTGTTTAACAAAGATTTCAAATCAATTGGTTGTGACGTCCGTTCATCCTTTGCAAATGCAGGTCACTTCAGTCTCATAGACTTTTAACACTGCAGTCGGACAATGATCACAAAGCGATAATGTAAACAGGTATAATGTTGAAGGTGTTAACCCTAAATTGAGTCTGGAAATTACTATGATGTAACAAAAAAAGTTAAAAATCACCCCAATAAGATCCTGGAAAATGTTGAATATTGGGAAAGAAAACAGGAAAAAAATCTTCTAAAAAAAAAAAAAAAGCTATAATCTAAATTTGGACATGCCTGGACTAAACCCCAGTGTTTACACAACATCAGTGATCACTGTTACTAATGAGACGTCAAATCAACTCAATCAAAATACAGTTGTGTCAATGTTTGTAATATTAGTCCCAGTTGTATTAACTGATCGGTTGGAAATCAAAGCTTCACGACAGATAGATGTTTAACAAAGTGCTTGTAGTTGGATTACTCCATCAACTCTGCCAGGAATCGTGATTCAGGATAGATTTGGATGTCACTGTATGTCCTGGGTGTTCTGACAGGATGGATGGATGGATGGATGGATGCCTCGGTTTATTAGTGTTGGACACACAGGAAGGAGGAAATCAAAGCAGTAGTCGGCGTGGATCATGGTTTGGTTGGTGGAATGTTTTTGGAGGATTTCTTTTTTCTTTTTTTTGGTTTAGTTGGTCACAGAGATGGAGAAGACTTGGCTTCAGCCCGGAGCAGAGTCGGAGTTTTAGTGCTGGGAAGTTCAGGGTGAAAGGAGAAGAGCTCCAGCTCCAGCTCCAGGCAGCCGACCAAGTGTGGGTTATAATCTCAGCCAAGACACATGCAGGGCTAAGACCAGGCACCCTACCAAGTCCAGGGCCTGTGGGGATATCCTGGTGTGAGCTAATCCTCCAATGTGCCTGGAGCATGGCCAGGAAACACACACTCACACACACACACACAGGTTTGCACAGCTAGTCTTGTTAGGACACTTCACTGATGTATCACGATCCCACACCACGTTACCTAGAAAATCTGGTTCCCTTTCAAAAACAGCAACAAAAACTACACTCTCTTCTGATGATTGACTTGAACCTTTATAAACGTATAAGGAGAAAAACATTTTTTTTAAAGAAGTTGTACTTGTTAAATTAATTAAGACATGTCTCCAGAAGTGGAGACCAATAAGTGGAGACAAGTACAGTGACTGACTGAAAGTGTCATACCAGTCTCTGGCTTGTACTGTATCCAAGGCATATGGGATCTTAATATATGTGATGGCATTGTTGATGCTGAGGCTCATTTTGGAATTTCAGAGAGTTGTTCTCATGTGAAGATAGCATCTGTTCCAGGAGTTTTGTGTTTTTTTTTTTTTTTTCTGCAGCAAAAACCACAAAAGCATGTGTAGAACAGAACGGTTCCCAAAGTGTTTTGGCCCAGTACCCCCCTTCTACACCCCAACCAATGTCCAGAATACACATATATAACACACGCATGCATACACATAAGATATATATGTATATATATTCATGTTCTTGCATCCCCCAGAGAGGCAGCTCGTGCAGGGGTACCCGCACCACGATTTGGAAATCCCTGATGTAGAGGATTTCAACCAATTATTTCCTCGTACCTGAGAGAAGTTTTGGCCCATTTCCAAACAATAGCTTTCAAAAGCATTCACATTTTGCAGGAACAAGGTTATTCACAGCATAAACTACATCCACTTATTTCCTAACCCTAATGTGGCCTACACATATTTCACATCCTGGTTCTGAATGTGAGCAGAAGCCTCAAGAATGAGGCTCTATCTCCAGAGGACCGGGCTTTGTTTCCCACGAGGACCACTGTTTTATACCAGTAGAGATGCACACATACACACATAAAATACACATGCTTGGTAAAGCCTGTGCAGTCCCTAAAACCCACCCACACAGACACACAAATACGTGCACACTCGCACACACACACAAAGGGTTGGATGAAGAAAAAAAAAAACCAAAGAAAAAAATGAAGGCTAAGGAAGTAGAGCCTGCAGTCTGGAGGGACAGGTTGTGTGTGTTTGTGTTGGTGTGTGTGTGTGTGTATACATAAAAAGCTATTATTTTTATTTTCTTTGCATAAAATGTTCTCGTCCATTTAATGTATTTTCTTGGGATTGCTTTGTTCCTCCTCTGTGCTTAATAATTGGTGTTAATATGTAAAACAATGTCAAAATTCACCACATCACCAGAAACATTGACAATTGTGACGATAAATGAAATCCCGTTCATCACCACTACTATGCAAATATCAGGTTTTGGATGTAAGCAGCGGTAGGTGGCAGGAGCTGAGGAGAGCGCAGCAACATGATGTAATTAAAGAAGCCCCAATCAAGCCTTAAGCAAATTAAAATCATGGATGTAATGGAAGACCCAGTGATTAATTTCAGAGACTCTGCAGCCTGGCACTCTACACACACACACACACACACACAAAATAATGAAATCTTTTGTTTTGAGTTAAATCTTATTGATGTCATGTGATTTCTATATGACATGATGTATTCGCTTTACTCTCTTCCGTTCCACCCAATTACATCAAACGTTCATGGCTTTACAAAACATCTAAATTAATGCCTGTATTAAAATGAAAGAAAGAAAAACAGATAAAAAAAACACCTCACAACTATTTGTCAAAGCTTAAAACTGACATTTTCTCTCTCTTTCTGTTTTCTCTACAGATTATGTTTATTTTGAGAACTCCTCCAGTAACCCACTGCTCATCAGGAGGATAGAGGAGTTAAATAAGGTGAGTGTTTGTCTGAGGCTGAAGGTTTACCCTTGAACGCACCATTGTTCTGGCCCAGAACCCAGCCTGATTGGTTTTGATTTATCTGAGATGGAACAGAAGAGAGATGTTTCGCTGTTTCTTGTGACCTGAATGATTTCATTATAGTCAGACTACATAAAACTGCTGCACATACGATGAGAATTATCATAGTCACAATTGTGGAAATTGAAATGACATTTTATTGATTACATAATCAGTGTAATTAATATTTTCTGGCCCCTCCAATGTTTTAGGAGATTGCAAGTGAAAAGAAATGTGTACGTTTTATTCCTCGATTTATGTTAATTTAGTTAATGTTGAAATATGAGCTATGTACTTGTGAAATGTTTTTCTGTGTTGCTGTCATGCGCTTGTGGACATTTTTAGTAATCTGATTGGTCTGATTATTTGTCAAATTGGGTTGCAGACTGGAGCGCTGGGGTAACAACGTGACCAAGAACCTTTGGTCCTCAGCCGTCCAAAATGATCAATTCTGTGTCTATCTTTAGTCCAAACCCTTTAACACAAAATGTGTTTTTGTAATTAACCGCCAGTAGACCTTGTTTACATAAAATAAAAAATAGTCTAATTAAACTGGGGATAGTCACTACGTCTAGTTGTCAGAAACACCTGCGAGTGTGTGACGGTTTAGGACTCAAACCCAAGCTCAGTTGAAGTTTGGTTCCAGAGGAGTTTGAACCGGTTGTTCTCTGTGGTTCGACCAATTTTATTTGTGATGCCTCATCAGAGTTGTTTAGTGTGTTATTGCTAGTTTTCAGTGGTCATACAATACTCTGAGTAAGCTGTGCTGTGTGCCCAGTATTTTTCAGTCTCGGAGTCCCAGGTCAGGTGTGTGTTTCCACTGTGTGCTGGTCAATGTAAAGCCTGTGTAATGTGATTGACAGAACGCTGAGAAGTGAGGTCAGTACTCTGCTCCTCAGGGATTCTTAGGTTTACTTTACATAGGGTTACATTGTTAAAGGAAACATCTTGATAATTCCCTCTAAAACCTACTAATGACCTACTTTGTAGACTACCTGGAGTTTTTATGGGTCATCAGAGTGGACAATTCTTTTTTTTGCTACCTAGAAAACAACAGTGTCGTTGTTAACTGATAGGCCAGTAGGGATGGATCCTGTTATCACTGCTCACCTCTGTGTTTGGTATGATTTGGAGAATGTTGTTTATAAAAAACATGTTTTTCAAATATTTGTATAGTGGTTTACTTGAGAGTGAGAGTAGCTCTACGCTTAGAGTCAGGTGTCAGATCGATGTGGAATTGTTGGACACACAGTACATGTTGTTCTGCGTGTAAAAATACTAATCAGATTAATTTTGTGGTAAAAAGTAAAACTCCTTATAATGTTGCTTGCTGTTGTGCGTCCTGGTACTGTTTTCTTTGGGTCTTCCTTTTTTCCACATCTTTCTTTTTGTTAATTTGTGTCTAACAGCAAAAAAGAAAAAAATGAAACAAAACACTGTAACCACCTCCAAGTATAATTAATGTCATGCTTGATTTACAGGTGTTAGTTTTCTCTCTGGAATGAAAATGAATGAGAAATAATTAATTTCTTTTACAATTATCATGCTGGAAAATGGATTGCAACTGATTTGATAATTGTTCACCTAGATCACCTAAAACTAAGGTCTGCAGTGATGATCATTTCTCTCTTCATCCTACAGTACTGTTACTGTACTGGATTTATGAGAAGTTTCCTAATTAATATACTACAAGTCCATAAGGGAGAACAAATATAATTGCCAATAAAATATCACAACTATATCAATGGTGAATTTTCTATTCACTATAGATTCAAACCAGATGGCCAAATATGAAGATTGTGTTCCCCAACATGTTTTAAATTACTTAAATACTTTAGGTGGCAAGAAAATACTTTCTTCAGAATAAATTACAAAAAAAACATGGTTTCCATGAAATTCAGTTGGAACCTCAGGGTCCTGGTAATAGGTTGCTAGTCCTCTTTGTGCTCTTCTCTTCTTCATCTTCAACATTCATCGTCTTCTTTATCATTGTAAGCTGTTTAGTTTCGTCAAAGATCTCTTGTCTTTTAGTATGTTTTTTTTTTGTTTTCTTTTAAATTTGAAAAAATGTTCACAGACTTATTGTAATGTTGCAAAGAGAAGAGAGTATTTGATTTTCTGAATTTTGTCCAAAACCATTAATAATGTTACAAATATTCCATATGTGGTTATGTTTTCCAAAAAATAAAGAAAAATGCAAATTATTAAAATATAAGTAACATTATTTTTGCACCATGTCATTTAAATAAGCTAATTTTGTTATATTAAAATATAAATATTCTTATGTTGACAAAAAATAAAAAATAAAGCCTTTTGCAGAGTCACATGTTTTTTTTCTTTATTTAAAAAATAATAGATAAAGCCTCAGAGTCACATGTTTTTTTTTCTTTATTTAAAAAATAATAGTTTGACTATCTTTTCAGAAGTGGCTAGTTTTGCATATGCAAGTTGCAATATTTTAATATTTATTGAAAAGAAAATGTGTTGCCCTTAAAATCTCTTTAAGAAAGCAGCAGGATCAGCAGTAGAATTCTTTTTAAAAATGAATTTGAGATGAGGTCATTAAAAATTGACCTTGATTGAGATTTCCAGTTGCTTGAGCCTAACTTGTGAACCCTGAATTATTCATTGTCATACAGCAGCTACTTTAGAAACAGTGTTGGATCCCATTTGCAGTGAAGCACAAGTGGGAAATAATCTTGGAAGTCACAGACATTCCCAGCCACACCTTCCCTGTCCTGGTAACTGCAACACTGGTGTTCGTATTTGGAGACCACTGCAGTTGCAAGCTCACTTTAAAAAAAAAAAAAAAAAAAAGTCTCGTTATTAGGTGTGTGTGTGTCTGCATCTGTTGGTGCACCACTTGTTGCCGTGGTAACGCCGATTGTCTCTGCTTTTCAGACAGCCAATGGGAACGTGGAGGCCAAAGTGGTGTGTTTTTACCGACGCAGGGACATCTCCAGCACACTCATCGCACTGGCAGACAAACACGCGAGTGAGTGACTGACCAAAACTCCTTCACCAAAAATCACAGACACAAACCTGGTCCTGTAACACCTTTCAGTTATTCGTCCGCTGCAAAGTTGTACAGCCTTATGGAGGGAGCGTCCCCGTAATGTGGAAATGTGACTCTGTTCGTGATGTGGCTTCATCATGAAACTCAGCAGGTGTTTTTCAGGGGATGGTTGTGAATTTAAAGAAAGTTCCTCTGCTGTTGCTGAGCTGAGAGAATCATTTCAGACAGCACTGGCTTTCCTGATGGATTTCATCCTTTGATGGTTTGTAAGAAACGTCGGCTTACGGACACGAAGGTTAATTAGAGTCTTCTCCAATAGAACAAACATTTAAATGTTATTTCCAAGGAAGAGCCCAGCAACTGATCAAAAAATGTATCAAATTTAAACCGTGGATTCTTAAATTAACAGTACACAAAATGATTCATATAAAAGGTTACTCATGTTATGAAGTCGGACAATATGTCAAAATCAACAAGTTATTCCTAGTAATTCAACTGTTGATGAAGCCAAGCCTCCTCACAGACAGTGAGGAGTGCAGTACCATGTTTTCAACCTCAGTCATGTGATTTTTGAGAATTGTATTTGTTGACAGCTCAAAAGATTATTCTGATTTAATTGCAATTTGCAACTAAGAAAAGAAGTGTGCAAACTTCAGTGATGTAATTAGAAGGAAGGGTCGGGATATTTTCAGTTGTTACGTTTATTTTCACAATTTCATGATCAGTCATTTTCAGTGTTGGTACCTTTAAAAAAATTCCAAAATATTAAACAAAGTGCTTTTTCTTACTGAGAATCGTTTTTTTTAGCTCCAATGAATCTAAACTGCAGATTCTGAACTAAAGCAGTGCTGAAGATAAGGTGACTTTATGGAGTCTGCGTAAATGTACAGCAGACAATGAAGGAGGCGATGACGACACGTGACAGGAAAAACTCATTTTCTGTAACTGATCCACAAACACAACCTAATGCGACTGCAGAACTTATCAGAGACATTTTGAATGCGCTTCACAGCCACAGTCTGCAACCAAACAGCTTTGTCCATTTCTCACGTGCAGTTTATGGTTGATGGTTGATGAGTGGGTGTGTTAGCGAGCTGTGCACACAAATGTGTTGCTGTTTTTAAGAGCTTAGAGGAAGCCCTGCAGGATCTGGAGACACCAGCAGACTTTGAATGGAATCAAGCGGCGGCTGTTGCCTATTTTTTATTTTTTATTTTTTCCTTTTAATGTTCCAGGTACCAGAATGTTTTTGCAGGGATTTAGAAGCTGAAACAATAGAAAGTAGAAAATATAGAGATAGAAAAGAGAAGACACAGAAGAGCTGAGGCCAAGAGGAACAAAGAGGGTCAGTTTAAAAATATCAGAATTAAAAAAAAAAAGGGAAGAAGGTGGACGGAAGACTTCTCTGTCCCCAGAGTGCATTGCTTGAAGGCCACAGTCGTTCTTGAATGTCTCCCCAGTGGTCATTTGCAAATGATGCCTTCAGGCTCTGCCCCACAGTGTTTGCATTAATAGGATGGAGATGCAGTGAGACAGGGTTGAGAGTTAGTCTTACTCTAGGAGTAAGGATGGAAATCCATAAGAATTTACTCCTTTTCTATTATAGACATCACTTATCCATTCGATTCCTTATCGATTTTCTTATCGACTCTGTAGGAGTTAAAACAATAGATTAGTTGGCATTAACAGCAGGTGTGTAGAGCAACATCAGTGATACGGTTCCCTTTGAAGGACTGGTTGTAAATGGAAGAGTGTCTAGATGTTAATACTTTAACGTATTATTATTATTAAATGTTAAAGTTACTAATATTGTACATTGCTCTGTGTAATAAAAAAACAAACAAATTTATCAGGTTAAAAAAACTCAGTGGGCAACACGAAATGGCTTGGCTGGCTGCATTTGGCCTGCAGGCCTTGAGTTTGACACAGGACTAGTATCCATACAATTCTCTAAGATGTCTACATGTTATTCTGTCGGCTCAAATCGTGTTGCTTAGCATTGAGAAATTGTGTTCACATGGCAAAACAACTTGAAACATCAGGAAAAGAGTCTAAAATTACATTCTGGAGAAAAACGCTCTCAAACATCTGTGGTAAAGGTCAGTATGTCCTTGTGAGCGCTGCGTAGATGGAGTGTGATCTGCATCGTGGCACAGGCTTCATTTAAATCATACTGAGGCCGATACTGAACAACATGTAATCCACTTGTGTGGTTTTCTGTGGTTATAGGTGAAACAGATTAGGAGGCGAAAATTGTTAGGTGAAAACTGCATTTTTGTGAGACCGCAGCGACGCGACCCAGTCGACTGTGTCTGGTTCACATCTGGTCGGAGCTGATGACCTGTGTGTGTGTGTGTGTGTGTGTCTCCGTCTCTCTGTGTGGTGTGGCGCAGCCTGAGTAATGTCAACGGCGCACACACACGGTTTATGGTAGTGCAGCCACGAGGTACATGTTTGAACCATAGTCCAGTTGTCTTACACTCAGGGCCAGGGTTAGACTCCCTTATTAATCTACTGTGTTTGTTTGTCTATTATTATAAGTGTAAAAGCCTGAAAATGTAGCTGTGTAAATATATCCCAGACTTTACTTGGACTCTTCTGTTCATGTCAGTGTGACTGATGTGACTAATAAGATCTATCTAACTAGCAGTCAGTTCGTAGAGAAAACTGTCAAAACCTCCAGCAAAATATCCTTAAAGATTACTAAGACTGATCCCCCAAAAAACTCAAAAGAGAAAATATTTAGCAAAGAAAAACTGCAGCTAAAACGTATTTTTCCAAAAAAGTAGGTAAACTAAAAAAAAAAAATTTGATTGCATTGCTAAAAATTAGTCTGTTTGGTCCAGTGGGTGTTGAAGTGTTGAAGTCTGGTGGTTTAATAAACAGACAAAAATGAGTCTGTTTGGTTGAAGCGTTGAAGTCTGGTGGTTTAATAAACAGATTTATTCTGGTAATGTCCAATCATAAAGTGCTTGATTTAAATGTTCAAATGCAGGAACGCTGCCATGGTATCATCCAGGCCAAACCACTAACTAGACTTTGACTGGGTGTGTCCAGCTTCATGATGTCTCTTTGGGTGTGTGTACGTGTGTGTGTGTACGTGTGTGTTACTCCTGACTGCAGAGTAAACAGCGTTAACGTTAGCCTGGTTCTGTACATGAGTCTGTAACACAGCGCTGGTGTCTCAGTGTTTGACTCTGTTGTTGACTGTCAAGTGCTTTGAAGAAGGAGCTCGAATGTGTTTTATCAAAGTTTCAAAAATACTTGAAGTTAAAAAAAAAAAAAAGAAGAAAGAAAAATTACTTTTTAATTTTTACCAGACTGAAGTCTGATTCACTACTTTGCAAATTAGATGGCCATCTGGGAAAAACAAAATGAATATCATTTCCTATCTCTAGGTTGTAATTGTAAAAATGAAAGTAATTTCTATTTATTAAATGTAACTTCTTGTGACTTTCTTTTTAATTGTGACTGTAGTTGTGTAGTCAATGGATTGCAGATGCGTTATAGCCTACAGTCTTGTGTTTTTGAGGTTCTTGGCCTGGTCACTGCTGAAGTCCTGGAATCGTGCTCTTGTGATTTTCGTTCTCGTCCCTGTTCACTTTTGCCGTTGCTTTGCCAGCTGCAGTTTGGTGAGGGGCTTCCAGACATTTGCAATATGTAAAAAATGCACGGCAGGAATGGCTGTGCACCGCATGGGTGTGGGCTGTATCCTGTCTGCTCTGCGGCCTCACTGCATGTGCCTTTCTGTGTGTTTGTTCCTGTCACAGTTGGTGCAGGTCTGAGACTTTCTACACATGATTAAGGTGAGTTCTGAGCACTCTGGTTCCTGCTGCAGGAATACCTGGAGGGGTTCCTTTATTCAGTTCACAGACCATTGGAGAGTAGAGCTCGTGTGTATTTTTCATGTGTGTCTCCGTGTGTCTGCTGTGACTCATTGATAAAATATTTTGGATACTACCCTAAACAGGGCCTCAGACTTCACCGTTGGCCCCTCCCCCGTGAGCGAAGCAGCCTCCAGAGTGGTCGGCATCTGTGGTGCACTTGGCATCCCCACCTCCCTGGCTCCTCCCTCTTTTTTTAGACATTTGAATTTGCCATGACTCAAACCTTTGACTATTTCTGAGACGCTGCTCCCTCTTTAAATACGCCTTCATCAACTAAAGACAACGTGACATGTCGTAGGTGAGGTGATGCACACTGGTAGAGCCAGTTTACCATAACATTACCTGGTCCTCAGCTGTGTTCCAGTTACAGCCAGTCGGTCTCCTGAGTGGATCCGATGTCCACTCAGCCACATTTCTTTCTTTCAGATTTTTGTTTTCCCATGTGGAACATAAACCTGAACCTGCATTGGTGATATCTATACCACTTGATATGTGCAATTTCAATAAATTATACTTATAGCCTCATCTCATGTTCAACAGATGCTGAGGTGAAGCATGACGTCACATATCAGGCTGGAACCTGGATGCATTGGTTTTAAATATATTTATTTAAAATCAACTGCCATCCCTGTAGGTGGCAGTAATGTACCAAAAGAATGAGTTTCCACACAAATTTCTATGAATGTATGTACTCGTAGACCAAATTATTTTAAATTAAAAATTACAAAGCCTCTAATTAAATTTTTTTAACTGCATTCCACCACTAGTCACAAGTTTACATTCAGCTAATGCTTTAAGGAAATTAGTAATATATTATCAGTGGAAATTACATTTTTTCTAGCTAAAAGTTCAATTCTCTTAATATGTAGGATTTAAATATGGAAATATATTTGTGTTAACTTATGCATTTTCACTTTTGGTTCATCTAAATATAAAGCTTAATGGTAATTGGATCTGCACTTGGTTCTAATGCAGTAATGGCCGACTTGGTGGATAAAAGTTTGGTGTGAGGTTCCTCAAAAACATACTTTTTGAATTGACACCAATGTCATTTTCAGTGGGCCTCCGACAATATTTCCCCCTTTTCCTGTT